GGGGGTTGTTTGGGGGGGGGGGGGGGGGAAAGAGGACTTCCTCAGAATGACACCAATGTTGTGGCACTAGCATTGGCCTTCTCTTGGAAATTTGATAATAACCAAAAGAATATCAATTATCATTAGTAGTGGTTTGCTTCAACTGAAATGGGGTGGGAGAATAGAGAGGAGGGAAAGAGAGACAAAGGCACAGGAGCAAAGAGAGGGTAAGAGAATAAGAAAAGAGAAGCAGAGATATGAGGGAGATGGGGGCAAAGAGAAGGGTGAGAGAAGAGAGATAAGACACGTGTGAGAAGGATTTTGAGTGATTTTAACCTTTGGATCAATTTTAGATCTTTGGGATTGGGGTTTGGATGTGATATATATGAGAGAGAAATTTTTTGGGAGTGATTTTAGACCTTGGATCAATGTTTTTAAACAAATCTGAACCGTCGTTGTTGTTTTCCAACTTTAAGATTCAAAAACACCTCTATTTTATTTATAGATATGACCATAGATTACTTTATAGTTGAACATACTTCGATTTTTTTTAACAACATTTTTATTAAAAAAATGCTTCTTAAAGCATTACCAAGTGGTTATAAGAAACTTGATACAATATGAATATCCAATCTTAGATTGATTTGTGTAATATAGAGCGTCAATTATATTATTGCAACTCCTCTTTTTGAATCGAAATGAGATAACATCAAGTGAGACAAGTTTTTAACAATATATATTTACTGAATATTATAATTGGAAACTTAAATTCTCAACTTATAAAAACACACCAATGGTCAAAATTGATTCAATCTTCATCTACTTTAATCCAATGTTACAAAATTCATCTCAAAAATTTTTTTTTCACCCAAAAACATCAACTTCTGTGCAAGACCCCTAATGCCAAACATTTCAATCAACATACTCCTCAATATCAAACAATCTCATTAATCTACACCTACCTCTTTCTTCATTTTAATTTTAAATTGCATAATTAGAAAAATAATATTGTAAGATCAATTCAACTTTTGATATTGTATAGTATCTTCGGACACAGGGTTATTCTAGTAACAATATATTATAAGGGGTCCTCTTTAGTATTTCGAAAAATTTAGGGGCACTTTACAAAGGACATTAAATTCTCTACGACTCAATAAAAAATGATCATTTTAAAGTAACTCTGACCCAGTAAAAAAGAAAAATACAGCTTTTCAAGTATGCAATTTGACTCTTTCTAATCAACATTATGTCATACACCCTTATGTTTTTTTGTGTGTGGTCTGATTATACACCCTTATGTTGATACACAGTTTTCAAGTTATAAACTTAAGCATGAACATCAATGGAAACAGGAATGCAGCATTTTTTCCAGCAGCCAGAATTTGACGGCGATGGGTCACAGAGCAATGATCACTG